AAAAAAACCAAGTAACGTAGACTCTTGGTATTCACTGCACATAAACTAGCGAGCCCCAGAATGAGAAACAACTTTAAATCATAATTATTGACGGATAAATAAACTTTTTACACGCTTTGGAAAATCTCAGAAGTTCGCGGTAGTCACTTTTCGGTAGGGAACTAAGGGACTCGGTTATTGTATCGAGCAGGGTTCGAAACGATCGCAAAGGCGGTATACTACGTATACGCGCCAATATACTACGTATACGCGCCAAAAAAGAATGTACATTTAAAGCATATTTTATATCGGAAATTTCAAGGATAGAAATGAAACCAAGTATTTACCAAAGACAATTTGAAAAGATGAATCAAAAGAAGAAATTAACATTTCATTTAAAATATGAGTTACGATAACAACACCTCATTCTCTCTTACTTTTCTCATTTCGATATTGTCGATATAATTTTACCCACGAACTAAAATATGACGCTTGAATTTGATTTTAGTGGACTTTACATTTGTGAACTTAAGATAGTGGACGTTTAAGTAATGGACTTAACAATAGTGTGGGCTTTAGAACTCTGGACGTAAAAAAGTGGACATAAAGTCCGTGTACCTACTCAGGTGTTCCAGCTCCATCTAGGCCCAAAAGGAAGAACTGGTGATAAATGCTACTGAAGTACTGAGTCCATCCACATCAGCGCGGTAATTACTTTATTTCTATTCTTGAGGATGTGAACCATCTCTAGTAGGACCCTCAGAAAATAATGCTTCTCAGAAGCTAAAACTTTAGCCTCATTGAAGTCAAACCGATGTTTTTTTAGAGTCCTGGTGGTGGTGTAAGGCCGTTTTCTCAGCTTTATTGTATCGATGTGAAGATTTTTTCAAAGTTTGTTTCGTCTGCCCGATGTACCCCTTGTCCTTGTACAACGATGTCCTATTTTTGTACTATAAACAACTTGCTACAGCTGAGCCAAAGCGTCAAGATTGAGGTTGCCAGATTTTCATATCGCAGAGACTGTCATGGTAACATTTAGTGCACGCTTAGACTCACACGTAGTCCGTTGCGTCCTTATGAGCGGGAGGTTTGAGCGTCAAGAAACATTGAATATCTTGGTTAGGACTCCTAGGACTCCTAACCAAGATATTTAATGTTTCTTGACGTTAATATCAGTGGCATCCGGACCTTTCGGTGCGAGGGATTCGGTGCCGGATGTTTCGGTGCAGAAGTTTGAGCGCGAGGAGGTTACGATGCAAAATTTTTCGGTGCGGGGCTTTCAGCGTCCCCCTTTTTTTTAAATAAAATAATAAAACAGCAAGCAGATAAAGAAATTATGCGGACTTTACCAAACGCCTAGGGGAAATTTGTCGAGGATTCGCCAACACTCTAACCCTTAATTTCCTTCAAGAGATTGCATATAACCTCAGTTTTTAAGTACATATTTGTACATATTAAGCTGAACTGACATGGACATATCCGAACCGCAATTATAAATACTCCTGAACTGACACGAGCACTTTATCCAACCAACTTGCGGACGAATAACTCCATACATTCAGGAAAGGGCGGGAAGCGGCTCCTGTATTGGACGTATTTCTGCCAAACGGAACTATGTGCATTAAGATATGGGCCTTGAGACCAATGAAAATATATAAGTTACGGGCAGATCCCGATTTTGGACAGATCGCAATCGGCCCGGGCGAGTCGCGACCGGTCGAGCCAAAAATGAGCAGATCGGGAACTGCCCGGGGAGACCGCGATTCGCCCATTTTAATGCGGGCAAATTGCGATTCGCCTGGGCCGATTGCGATCTGTCCAGGCAAAATTGGGCAGATATGATTTTGTGCTTGGCAGCAGTAGATAAGTGACAGCTCAACGAATCCAGCACCTGCTGAAACACATGACGATACGGCGCTTGTTGACGTGCCACCAATTATTGGGTGTGAGAATGAAGGAAATATATCAACCACATTCCACTGTGAAGAAATGAGTGGACATCGAATGACGAAACGAAAAACCATTGAGAACTTACAAAAACAAGCGAGGAAAATGTTGAAACTTAGCAACGCCAAGTTCAAACCCCTTCAAGTAGGCTGTAATGCTACAGTACAATATCCTGACGTTGATCGAGCCAAGGGCGACGCTCGAAATACAGTCGCGGTCATTTTGGAGGTGACATATTACAACATGTATAGGCTCGGCATAGAAAAAGGAAAGCTCTCGGCCCCTTACGCGCGTAATCAAATCCGTGAGTGCAAACAGAAATTCTTACCTCCGGCAGATGTTCCTACAACTACAGAAATAAGATTGCGAACCCTGAGTCGTAACAACTCACATTTTGATGGACAGGGATTCAAAAAATGCACCTGCAAAACTCACTGCAACATCAACTGCTGCGCCTGCAAAAAAGTGGCGTTCTCCGTAACTCCAAGTGTCATAGCTCTTTGACCTGCTGCAACAAGTAAATACAGTGCCGTTTTCTTCATTAGTTTCAGTCCCTGTAAAATAATTGAATCTGCCCAATTTGACTCGGGCAGATCGGGATTTGTCCGGGCAGATCGCAATTCGCTTGGGCCGATCGCGATCTGCCCAGAAATCGGGATCTGCCCGTAACATGCGCATAACAGGGCTCACGTCATAATGCACATAGCTCCGTTTGACGGAAATACGTCCTATGATACTTTTTGCATAGGCATAATAAAGTCCAGCAACTTTTTGTCAACCAAACCCACTAACGCCATGAATACTACTTTCATTCTGTCATCGATCTAGCAGAAAAGGTAAGCACGTTCTAATGATCAACTAACTAAAGAAAAAAGCGCCGACAAATCCGGCGCGACGCCAAAAACTGCGTGGCCGAAACCTCCACGCCGATAACTCCTCAGCGATTACTCCGTGGCGATAACTCCGTGGCGATAACTCCGCGCCGAAAGATCTACGAACCATATCAGTAATTTTCGTTGCGCGAATCGTGTTCTACGTAAAAGGGTATCTCTGGGTAAGGGCACCAAAATGCCCCTCCTCAAGGATTTTGAATTTAATGACCTAAACCCTTTCAGGAGGTCCTAAAAACATGGTTTTAGGCAATTTTTACTTCCTGACCCCAACCACCCCCCTCCAACCCCGGAAAAACCCATTTTCTGGGGGAATTTTGGGGTACTTCCACGTTTTATTTCATATCTCCGGGGCTTTTAAATGAATATGCACCAAAATTTCACCAAATACACATGAGACCATTCAAATTCTCGGGTAAAAAAATTAAATTTATCACACCATATTTAGACCCCTAAAAAATTCATAAAAATCCTAAATTTCCAATTTTTTCCAGATTTTAGCGGTTAAAAAAAATGAGAACACAAACATTTTTACTTTCTCGCTCCCCTATGGTAGAGAGGAAGTATTGTCATCCTCCAAGAAAAAAAAAAGTTGAAATTTCATAATTTCTAGACGTTTTAAGGTCCCAGGAGTCAAAATAACCATACTTGAAAAAATGTGTGTCCGTCCGTCCGACGTCCCCCAAATCTGTGTACAGCGATATCTCAGAATCTATCTGTTCGATTTCATTCAAAATTTGCACAGAACACCACATCTATGGTCTCATTATGCACGTCAAACGATTTTGGGGTACGCTAAAATTTGGGGGGGGGGGCTACGCTAAATTGTCCATTTTTAGCAAAATCACACGGAAAGCTCATTTTGAAGGAGTGTAAATTTTGAAAAATGCCTTTAATTCTTTAACAATGGGCATCAAGCACATTACCTGGGTCATTAATTTAAGTTCCTAAAAGATCTCTGGACTAAACTCAAAATTCAAGGGATTACGAGGCCCAAAAGTAGGGCACTTTGCTCCGCGACATGACATGAAATTGACATGAAATATTTTCTGACGATACTAGGGCATGCTTCTTGAAACATTGGAACCAAAAATGAGGGATTTTAGTGTTTTTATCTGGATAGCGTGCGAGTAAACCATTGCCAAAATAACCATTTTGACTGAAAGAAAGAAAGAAACGTCTTTTACAAATACTATTACTGCGTGCTTTCTTACCATCAGATATTCCCCCTTTAACGAAACAAGAAATGGGGACTGTTGAATTTTACTGATTAAAGTGGTTTCGGTTTCGTCATTGTTATCAAGGATCTGATAATTCTGAACCTTCACAAGTCCCTTGCGTTCAACGGCTCGGTCTCGGCAGCTCTGGGTTATTCCTCTGTAGGGGTACCACCTGTCTGGACACAAGTACCCATTCATCAGGTAAGTCATCAGCGTAGAATATGTGGAGGAAACTTGGCAAGAGTTCCCAGGGGCACAGTCCAGAAGCTCTGTAAAACGTCACAAGAATCACAGTGAGGTGGATCCAGTATGATGAATTTTCCATCATGGCGATTGGAGAGAGCTAAGGAAAAGCGACACACCTCCATGCGGTCTTCTTAAAAAGATCATATCTAATTTTCTAATTCGGATAAAGCAGAAAACACAGCCAGAATATATGAATAAATAAGGAGGGAATTAAAACATGGATAAACAAGGCTAAAACACTAAAAACAATAAAAGGCAGGACACCACAGTGCAGTGTCCCATGGACAAAACTCGAAAATTCGACTTTGTCGGATAATTAAAATGACCACTGGATTGAAGAAATGGATGGATGGGAAGAAAAAATTCGTAGTTTCTTGACATAAAAATGCTATTGAAGGGGAGGGAGGGGGAGGGGAAATCGAGGAACCTGCGCGGATGTACATGTACAATTAGCAGAGATCCAGTAGCGGGCATCATGTGTTATGACGGGTGATAACTGATCACGGAGATCGGTAGATCTCCTCGCCAAGCTAAAAATATAAATATAAGGAGAACAACTAGACAAAGCCTCCAAGAGTAAGACCAGAAAACGCCTTCAAACGACTCTGCAGCAACCATACACACGCGGGGCGATAAGCCGATAACGGTCGGCAGACGGTATGATATACAGAAAATGTTAGGAATTGCCGATTTTCGCTACTTTTTAACTTTTGCCGTCCTCATGCCAAAAAACTACTCAAAGGATCATGCTGTTTGTTTGGCATGGTGATTCTTCAAGATTCAAAGGCCATACCTTTTGGTGTCTGATGTTTCAAAACTAATTGTTAACGGATATATGACGTTTTAAATATATTAAAACGCTACCGGACTTCCTTCGTTTTCTAGACACTTATCGAGTTTCCCTTATCTGAAGAAAAGAAACAAAACGACGGACGGACTCAAAATTTGACATGAGGAACGTAGATGAGTTGAAAAGTGAATATTTTGGCCTCTGACATTGCTAAATTCAGTGAAAGTTTATTTTTTAGGTACTTTTTTTAGGTTCTAAGGTACCCACGGGTTTTTTTAAACAACTGGCATCACTGGTTATAGTCAGCTGTTTCTTATTATTGTCGGCGCGCTTTTTATCAAACCAAAATAAAAGCATAAGGCGGAATTAGGCCAATCAACCTAAACACAACAACAACAACAACAACCTTGCAAGTTAGAGTACCTATTGCAAGTGCTTCCACCGTTTGTTCAGTGTTTTGTTTATTTATCAAGTTCTTTTAAATTTTCGAATTGTGGTAATAAAAGGTATGTTATCATTATTTGCTAGTTCTGAAGTTCAAGACATGCCATCGCAGTAAGTATGATTGATTCCCAATTAGAACATTTGACGTCGCACTTATGCCTTTATGCGGCTTCATTAATGAATGTTTTCCGACACGACAAGAGAAGGCATAGCCCTATCTCAAGTAAGCAGTATAGTGAATTTCAATGTCTTATCATGCTGTTACGAGCTTTCATTGAGCGGCTTGTTGCTAGCTTGTATGTTAGAGCTCTTTAAAACATTGTCTCGACTAATGAAATGATCAAGTAAGAACTAAGCAAGTGTATGGGTTCTTTAAAAAATGAATATATAAAGGTCTTGATCATCAGATAATACATATCTGAATGCTATCCCATGCTAAATACATTTACGCAGACTGAGACTGCGCAAGAAGAACCACCATCTTCATTCTTCCATTTACTTTGAAAGTAGAAGGTACATTAGACGATCCACTGTTGCAGTTTACAAGTGGGTAAACTTATTTGGCATAGACTCCAGGGGTGCAGAAAGTTCATAGCCTTCTCCAAAGTAGGTATATCTCCAAGTAGTAATTAGCCCCGCCCTTCGGACATTGGCTTCTTCTCCTTGACAAAAATGGACGTATCTCTGTCAAACAGAACAATGTGCATTAAGACATTAGCCTTGAGGCCCATAAGAATGTATGCATACCAGGGCTCATGTCATAATGCACATAGTTCCATTTGGCAGAAATACGCCCAAATGATCTGCAAGGAGTCGAGTTTTTCAAAAATACGCCGCAAACGATATACATGGTCTGGTAGTTTCACCATCAATACTTATCGTACACTCTTCTCACAATGGAGCAGATGCTGCAGGTATTTTTCAAGGACATTCTCCTACTTGGCTTCAAATTACAGCCGAAACTGGATGCTTTTAAATTAAATTGAAATTTAATTCGGATTTTATTTTTAATCACAGGTGAAACCGATCTGCACAAAGCATGTAAAAACATAAAAGGCTCAATATTTTATAGCTGCCCACTTCAAAATCTGTGAGCTGTCCCATCTGTGAACATTACGGTCTGTGATATCAGTTGACGGATTCAGTTGCATGAGGCATGCCTATTCAGGCAATGTTGAAGGATGCCGTTTGCTGAATGAACATGCATCTACTTTTGATAAGTCAAATTAATTGCTACCCACGTTGCTCTTTAGGAAAATGTCTTATAACAGCTTGGATGTGTAGTATCCACACTTGACATTCCAGTGTGTGTGCTCCGTGTTCGGGACTCCAAATGAACGTATTTCTGCCAAACAAAACTATGTGCATTATGATGTGAGCCCTGTTATGCACATATCCTTAGGGATCTCAGGGCTCATGTTTTGATGCAAATAGTTCCATTTGGCAGAAATATGTCTAAATGTGGAGTGCACTCAGCACTTAAGATGGCATTCGCCAGCAGAAAGGGTAATGTTGGGCAGAGCACTGTAACGGATCTTTCAGAGCTGTCTCCCACTTCGGAACGTGGCCACAACTAAAAAGGCGATGCGCCTGGAAGCTGGCAAGCTCGTTAGAAGAAAAAAATACCATTCATAGAGATGATATTGGTTTTTTATTCTCCTTCAAAAAAGTAAAATGGGAGCAAATTTCTTTAACCCCGTAAACGAGATAACATGGTCTGGTAGTTTCATCATCAATACTTATACACCCTACTCACAATGGATCAGATACTGCATGTGTTTTTCGAAGGCATTCTCTTACTTGGCTTCAAATTACAGCCGAAACTGGATGCTTTTAAATCAAAATGGAATTTATTTAGGATTTTATTTTTAATTACAGGTGCAACCGATCTGCACGAAGCATGTAAAAACATAAAAGGCTCAATATTTTATAACTGCCCACTTCGAAATCTGTGAGCTGTCCCATCTGTGAACATTACGGTCTGTGATATCAGTTGACGGATTCAGTTGCATGAGGCAGCCTATTCAGGCAATGTTGAAGGATGCCGTTTGCTGAATGAACATGCATCTACTTTTGGTAAGTCAAATTAATTTTGAACCCCGCAAACGAGATACATGGTCTGGTAGTTTCACCATCAGCACTTACCATGGACCCTATTCACACTTGGGAAGTCTATCCAAGAAAAAAATACTTCAATCACAAATGCCTCGCCCGTTCAAGGGCTCCATTATCAATGTTAGTGCTGACCAGGCATTTGAGGCGCCTCATGAGGTTATGCTGTACAGCATCGACTCGTAGCTTCAGCATCAATGCCGTATGCCCAGGTAGCGGCCGTTCGGGCATACGGCTCCGAGCCTGATGCGCTCAACCTGCCGGCCGCCGGCTTCGGGCATTGAAGCCCGATGCTGGAGAGCCGACCGAGCCAGCCTCAAGCGCTGATGCTGAGGTTTGATGCTGGCTCAGGGACCAACATGGGCCTCAGCCTCTGAGGCCGGACCGTCGGCTTGCGGCCCGATACGGCCTCAATTTTCGGACCCGCCACCCAGCTTAATTACCGACGGGGCTGTCCCAGAAGACCGCGACCCTCGGACTCGGCGATGAATTCGCGGAACACCCCTTTGTTTACGTTTCCCATTGGCGCGGTGACCCACGCCGGGGCGCTGGCGTCCGACGCGTCTGCTAATTGAAGCCGCTAATTTCGATGCTGGACTCAGCATCAAAACTGATGCAGCATCAGAAAAAGAGCCGGGAGTCGGCTTCACCAGGTGAAGCCGCCTCAACGGCATATGCGCTCCCCCGGCGCACTGATCGAAGCGGCATGAAAGTC